CGCCAAGCTGCTTTAAGAAGCCAGATCCGCTTGAAGCAGTGACGGCACGCAGACCCAATCTTTCGCTGCCGTCGAAACTTCCAGGTGCGATGAGGAAAAGCAAAAAGAATCTGGTAAACGAGAAGCGACGCAAGGCAGTTGGTCGCATAAAAGGTGGCGCGGAACAGCTCAACGCGAAAGTGCTGCGGAAGGCGGTGGTGGTTAAGAAGCAACTGGCGGAACCTTTAACGAAAGAGGAACATATACAAACGCAGCCAAGGGAGTGGGACGAATTCGTCGAGGAGGGCACAAACCAAACGCAGCCTGCTGGGAAACCCGAAACGCATGCGAAGAAAACGGAAAAGGGTTCGCCATGCACACACCAACACATCGTGGTACCGCCAGCGCGCCTACTGCCCATGCGATCTATATCGCCCGCGGTATCCATATCACCACAGAGCGTAGGGAAGCGCATAAAGCAGATCGCGCCGAATCTGAGTAATATTTGGAGTACAAGTAAGAGCGAAGGTACGAGTCTGCTGAGTGTCACACTCCGTTCAAAGTTTGGTGAAGGATTTGGCAGAAGCGTAAATTTAAAAGGACACAATTGCCTAGGACAAGCATTCCACCAGCATTTCGACGTCTACCCAAGTTATACAAAGGAGTATGAAGCGCACCTACCAAAACTGAAAATGAGCGAAAAATCGCAAGGGAATGAAGTGGCTAGCGAGCAATCGGAATTCGGTATATCCTATCACACGCCAATAACGCAACGGTCGCTTATACAGCGGCGTCGAGCAAAATCACCTCAGACGCAAGTGAGACGCAAAGAGGCAAGTGTGCGCCGATCACCAGAACGCAAGCATTTCTTGTAAGAGGTAACGAAGTATGGCAAAAGAGGGGAAGACAGCAGGCAGGCATACTATTTTAGGAACGCTAAATAAACCCTTAAAAGTGTAATGTATATTTCTAAGCTAGTTAGGAATTTTGCAAAAATTTTTAGTGTACGAATTAGGCTTTTAATCAATAAAGTTCAACTGGTTATAAAATTCCTTAAGTGGCGGTGTGGTTTTGAGAATTATAGGGAATTAAAATTACTTGATAGAATTCCCCCGATACCTCGTCAAATTTTGTTTGGCTACAAAGTGGTGGTCGTTCTGCCATCTTCAGTGTAATTTTTTATTCTTTGATGTAATACCTTATTCTGCCAACTTTTTTTTTAGTATAAATATATAGTTTAAATATAGTCGTCTACTTTGCTAAATAGGTAAAAAGTTATAAAAGTTAAGAAATAAAAAAATTCAAAAATTAGAAATTGAAAAAAATTATAAGGAATTAAAAAAATTAAAATTGAATCAAAAAGAATTCAAAAATTTAGGAAATAAACCAATAAATTTTTTTTTGAGAATTAAGAAAAAATAAAACAAAATAAATATATAAATAATTAAAATTAAAAAAAAAATAAGGAACAAATAAAAATATTAAAGATTATATTCTTTATTTTTATTACCTACTATATTTTTTAAACTTTTTTTATACATATTTCTGTATTTTGTTTTAATTTTTTTTTTATAAAAAAATTTAATTGTTTCATTTCCAGAATTTTTTAGTTCTTTTTAATTCACTTTTATTTTGAATTCCTTATAATATTTTTTCAATTCCCATTTTTTTACTTTTTTTAACTTTTGTTATTTTTCACCATTTTAATATTTTTTTTCTATTAAATAATTTTTTTGAGCTTGAGGCGGTTTTTTATGATTTTTTTGTTTGACATGAGGTTTATTTTGTGAAACTCAACAATAAAAACCCACAAACAGTTTCCTTATTAGTTTAAATTTCATCCAGCAATATGCGATCAGCTGTTTTTCGTACTGGCAAATTCTTACAAGTAAAAATTTATTCAGTAAAATCCAGTAATAACTTGCAACTTCAACTGTCATTTTTCGCTCTCTCAATTTCCCCTACTTTGCAAGTTTTTGCGTACGAAAACGCCAAAACATGAAAATTCGTAAAAACTTTTACTGGAATTTACTGGAAATGAGTAAAAAATGCAACTATGGTTTATTTGGCCAACAAATTACCAAAAACTCAAATTTTTCCGGTTTTAAATTCTTTTTGCATAGTTTTTTTTTTAATGTTTTTTCTTATTTTTTCTTTTATTTCGTATTATTAAGTTATCAATGTCTTCATTTTTTAGGCTTTCTTATTTATTCATATTTTTTCGTTTTCTGTACTGGAATTAGCTATTGGATTTCAAAGTTATATTTAACATCAGTGATGAAAATTAAGTTCCAAATGGGTTCTAACATCAGAAACTAGTTTTTGTGAATATTGCAGAGTATTATTTTTTTTATTAAAATAAATAATTTTATCTTTGACTTTGTTTTAATTAGATATGTATGTATGTATGTATATAATATTTACTTCTCGCAACAAATAAATTAACTTAGAGGGAAATTTGACGAAGGCGTTGCTTTTAAAATTCTATTTCACCCGTTTTATTCATCTAAATCGCCTCCAATAGGCAATAGGTATCAATTTGTCGCTAGGCTTTGCTTGTTGTTTATCAAACACTCTTTGCGCGCACTCATAAACATTGCAAATATTCAAATTGATTAGAAGTGCACTTAATATTAGAAGCGCAAAAAGGGAAGAGCACTGACGCTAAATATGTGAAGTGACATTTTCAGCGGGTAAGGTAAAAATTAATACGAATTAAAAATAGAAAGAAAAATATCGAGGTCAAGGCTAATTAATGACTCTAAAATACAATAAAATTCGAATACAAAATGAGTAACTAACACGAAATAGGTAAAAGGAAGCAGTTGATCCACAAGCAAACATACATACATATGTACGAGTATATACATGAGGTGTTTATTTAGAAATGACCAAAACTATATATATTTGATGCGAATGTCCACTCCTTTAAAAGTGAATCGATTTTCCTTATCGGTCATTAATCAACGCGCGGCTGCGAATTTGACCCTCGCACGTCAAACGGAGTGAGGCTTTCGCCAGATACTTACATACATATGTATGTATGTCTGCATGTATGAATGGTATGTGCATAAATGCATATCTACATATATTTATATGTATGTACGCTAGCATTTCGGTATGTATTATTAAAATAAACCCCTTTTTAGGAGAAAAGTATGAACTACATTACATGGGCACGCACACTCTATTTGTAGCTTTAGTACCAGCCATACAACTACAGGGTTTCCATTTTCATCACGGAACCAATGAATCTTCGTGAGGGTGTTTAAAAGTATAAATTTCTAATGCCATAAAGTTGGCAATAACTTCTATAGTTCCCTTATCTCTACTAGTAGACAAATTTTAATAGCTTATATGAATATAGATTATTTTGCAAACACTTTTCCATTATCTATATATTAGTAGTACTAACAAATATATGCATGCGTATATATATACATACATATATCTTTAAATTAAATGGTCATATTGCCGTGTTATAATACAAATGCTTTTCACAAGTAAACAAATGTTTAAAGCATGCTCTAACAAAGGTAATAACCGTCAACCAATGTAGTAGAAGTACCTTTTCATTAAATTTTTAATGAGCCTTAGGTGATGACTCGATTTATATTTACTCACATACATACATACATTTGTAATAATAAATATATTAATGGTTGAGCAGTTAGGCGCGTCAGGCGATCAACGAATTTCATAGCTACATACTTAATTATTGAGCACAGTTGTCGAAAATTGAGGCACGCCGCTTACTATAAACAAATTATAATTGGTGTGCAGTATTGGGGAAAATAATAAACACATACATAATAAAGCATTTTTAAGCTATTCCCCTAATAATTGTCTTGCAGTGATGATCTATCGAAGTAGAATAAACAATTATGGAATATTTAGAGAACTTTCTTTTGTCAAATCTGTACACTCGCCTTATAATAATCTGGAATTTTGATAAATCATCTTAATCATGGTAAAATTGTAGCAGGTGTAGTAATCAGAGCGAGAAGAAAGATGTGACGTTATCTTATTTGCAAATTTATTTGAAAAAATTTCTACAAGATAGCCGAATGTGAAGAAAACCTGGAAAATCAAGCGAGAAAGCTGTTTTATTACTACACCTGGTATAATTTCACCATGATATAATGCCACCCTGTCAACTGCCAACATCAACAATCTGGAATTTCATTACTTATGATAACAAAAGAAGTTGCACTTGTTATGCGTAATTAGGAAAATATACTTAGGAAAAGATTCTCAGTGCAAATTAAGCACTGCTTACCCCGTAAACAAAAATTAAAAAAGGTTAGTTCCTTTAACCTAGCCCAAGCTAACCCAACGCAACTCTCCCCAATATTTTTTTTTTTTGCCAACACTGTACCTGTGGGCGCTACGCATATCTATCTGTCTATGTATCGACATGTCTGCGTAGAAATGCATACTCCCACGAAAATTGTTACCAAAATTTGCTGGTGATTATCGATTTGCCATTACGTTAATAAATTTGCTTTAAATCAATGTAGCAATTATCGTAGAAATTTATAGTTCTTTGTTTTCATTAGTGATACGAGCAAAATGCGACTTAAATTAATAAAGATTATTGTGCAAGATATTGTACAACCGCTACAACAACAACCACAACACTGAATGATAATTTAACAAAGCCTAAAAAAATACAGTAGATAAAAAAATCATATCTGGTGTATAACAAAAAGGGTTTCAAGCAGCTCAAGTAGGTTGCAAAGGCCTTTTTAATGGCGTTGCTAAAAAATTAAAAGTTAAGCATATTCGAGCAAAAATATGTGAAAATTGAATAAATAAATATAATAATGTTCTGTAGCTAAACTAACAAATATTTAACTTGTTAGAAAAGCAATTGTATTTGCTAATGATAAAATTAATAATTTATTCAATTTCAATAATTATCTACCCATTTGTATATTAAGCCCAACAACGCCATCAGAAAAACTGAAAGCCTCATATGTAATTAATACAACCGCTATTTAAATACAAAGCACACTCACTTGTTGGTGATTTCCATAACATCCGACATCATAAGGCGATATTTTTTACGAAACTGCAGGCCACGTTTCGTATTCAACAGGTACTTGTTGCAGAAATCTGTCAGCGACACGAAGTAAATGAAACCCAATGAGGTGAGGAAGAGGCCGCGTTGCAGTGAAATGCGATCTGTTGTATTGGGTATCTGCAGCAGGCTGCCACAAGCCAGGCTCATCGAGCCAATGGAACAGGCCAAGGACATGTAGCAGCGACTGCCACGCAGGCGCTGTTGCAGGGCGGTGTTAGCGCCCATAATTTGTGCTTGTTTATATTTTGTGTGTGTTTAATTTTTCTTTGTTTTTCTCTGGAACCTCACTTGTGCGTTCGTCGTCAATGTTGGAAGTCCAGTGTGCTATTTTTTTATGGTCGCTTTATTGTAGTGCTTTGGCTGCTTAAACTCTGTTACGGTGGCTTTCGGAAGGTAACTGCAAAAAGAAAGAGCTAATATGTAGTTTGAAAGTGTAACAATAATTTTTTTTATAATTATTAATTAAATACGCTAGTTATTCATAAAATGATTTAGCTTACAAATTATTCGTTGGACTTTGTGTATACGTACTATGTATGTATACATTTTCTAATTTATTTCACTTTAGTATGTACATGTGTGAGGGTACTTAGTATATTTTGTGGTTATCAAGTTTATTCAACGCTTTTGTTTGCCAGATAAGACAAGTCAACAATAAATTATAATTAAGTAAAAGAGCGCTGAGATGTTTCACAATTGAGTTTTAGCTTTTCCACTTTTTGTGCTGGTGTAATTGGTTTCATCCATTCTCGCCTCTCCAGCATCTCTTTGTGACAGAAATCAGTCGCAAAAAAATCAGAATTTATGAAGGTGATAAAAAACTGATAACAGCCTTTAGTTTGGAAAATATGAATCATTCGGTTTTTTGCACTTTTTAAAATTTAAAAGAAGTTTTAACATTTTGAACGGAAGTTTGAAAGTTCAAGATACAGGAAAAAGTTGTTAAATAAATAGCAATTGTACATAAATATGTACGAATCCTATACGTAGTACATTTGTGTAACAGCAATTTAAACAGGCACTAAAAAATTCTAAGCAAACTTGAGATAATACAGCCACAATTACCCGTGCTTATACAAAATAAAACTACCTAACAACAATAATCACTAGCACGCCCTTGGCTTAGTTACGTAGTCACGTCGCGTCGCCAACCCTCAGGCGTGGTACACACACATACAAGCTCCCCAGTCGCAAACTTACACTGGCATTTGGTAAAGAAATTTTTAAAATTACGACATCGACTAAAATGTGCAGCAGAATGACGCCGTAGAGGATTTCGCAGACAAGCTGACACCAAGTGGCTGCAAACATACATGTGTACATATGAATGTGTGTGGTCATTACTTAAAGCAGTCAAAAAAAGGCCCAACTAAAAACAGCGGAGACAGGAGCGTCGCGAAACGTGTGATTGAGTCAGACAGTGGCGGTTTAAAAATAAGAACGGAAAGATCTTAGCATTTTAACAAGATTTATAATAGATTCATGGAGCAAATCCGTAAATCATAGTTTTTCACAGAGCGATGTTCCCTACAAATCATCGAAAGTGAGCTAACTTAGATTCCTGTTATATATACATAACCACTTTACAAGTTTCGTACATTAATTTAAATCAATCTACAAAACAATTTGTTATTCGCGCTTTATAGCCAGAATGAAATGACGATGACTATTCATACATAGTGCGCAGCACAGCATACACAGTTATATGAACCATGTATAGAAACATGCACATGTACATGTACATGTACATATGTACATCCGTATTATTATTTCTCTAAAAACTGGTATGATGTAAGAATCGCTTTATTTGCTTAAATTGCTTCAATCGCTATTCCGGCAGCAAGCCGAGAGTGCTTTAGAAGCATTTGTGGAGCAGAGCAGCGCATGAGCAAGCCTTTACAGGTCATAGCGTAAATTACTTTTTGCCATTATCATTTACAATTGACAATTGAATCTATTGCCCCTTTCTATTGCTATTTTATTCTTGCGCGGGGGAGTGCCCAAATGCAAATCAAAGCGCACTGTATGGGGCATATACGAATTGTTAGAATTCTCCGGCTAAGTAAATGTATAGCTTCGTAATGAAACAGCTGTTTGTGAGCTAAAAGGACATGCCAACTAATTATACTTGTTTACATTTGGTCCCATGATCTGTGCAGCAGATAACAGCAAAACAGCAATCAGCAGCATGACTAAACAAAAACAGTTGTTTGTATTTTTGTTTTCCTCATATGTTTTTGTTTGGCAATGTATGCACTGCCGTGACCAACAATCGCTTTTTAGCAAACGTACGCCATGACATTTTCACTTTTACTCACTCCTCTTGCGGGACATGGTACACAAATCATACACACGCGTGGGCGTTATAAAGCAAGGTATTCGTCTTTTAATTCATTACACGTGTGTGACATGTTATGCAAGAGCGTCTGTTGTAGAATTAGGAGCGGTGCATGTTAAATGATGCTCGCTGATACCAGGCGGCAAGTAAGACTTGTAAAAATGGGATCACCACTTGATGGCTGCTAATTCACTGCGCAATGTTAGTATGTATTCGTGTATATATTTTCGGCGTGTGCATGTGATGATTGGATGCTAATTGTATGGTGCGGACAATGATAATGAACTTGATGAAGCTGGCCCACCTAGAAAAAGCTCTATTAATTAAACAGAAAAATAATTTCCATTACTTGTAGTGTAACGTGACAACTAAATACATATGCTATGACGATAAGCTACCGTGCTTATCACCAATCTGCGCCGTTGATATATAAATTTTCGTCACCTAAGCACCCGAATACGTTGCAGCTGTGTGCCAGTTCGATGCAGTTTACACAAGTCTTGTAAATTCTATTATGTTATACCGGCAGCATGTCACTCCCTTGCCCGCACTCTAACTAGATAAATGCTTGTATGTATTTGGTTTGACCAGCGCAGCTCCGCATCATTGCACATCGATGTGTAGCAACAAATTCAATTTGCCATATGTTGGCGTATGTTCTAATTATTTTTGCTATTTTTCTTTTGTTTGCAGTTGCTCTTATAAGCAATTTAATTAATTAACACAAAATATAGCCTATATTTCCCAATATTAACTCCCAAGGGCTAGTAGTGAAACAAGCGGTTCAACCAAGATTTTGCAATCACCTCTGTCGTAGTTGCTCGTGAGTCTTCTTGCTTCAGTGGCTCTTGTAGCAGGTGGGAAATTCTTTTTTCAATTAACTTTTAATTATTGAAAACCGCAAGTAACTTTGTAAGTTACTACCGATCGAAAAAATAAAACAACTACACGCGCGTTAAAAACCATTTGCACTGTATTAAAAAAAAAATCAGCAGGCGAGCAAGTCGCGCTGTTAAGTGCTGTCATACTACCGAATTGTGCCCGACAAAAACAAAAATTTAGAAACAAAAAAAAAATAGTTTCATGTCCAACCAACTTGAAGGCACCAAAAGATACATGAAATTATTAGTTTATAGCCAGCTGAAAATTTAAATAAATCTGCTTTATTAAATAATTCTTGGAAAGCTTTTCACGAAAAAGTTAAATATTTTAATTTTTCCCTCTATCGAAGTAGAGAGCATGCAGCACTGCTGCCCAACAGCTGATTGCAAATTTACAATCAGTGCTGCCACTGCGTTATTTTCATAAACTGATTGGCAGTGTTCACAACGCACATTTTAGGAAAAGGCCAGAGTGTGTTTTGGACGCTACCTTGCATACTTATTTTACACCGGAAGTGCTTGCTTAGACCAAGCCAAAGGAAAAGAGCTGCGTGTTTCTTGGATCTTCCGTTAGTTGAGCTTGATGACAGCGACTGAAATACTAGCCGATCTGAGCGGGATCGTTACAACCGCAACAACTACAACAACAACAAGAGGCTTTTCTGTACTTTTGCTGGAGAATTCAGATAGCGATGATGATTAGAAAGTTATGTTTTTGTGCCAACTATCTGCTACTACACTTTTGGTGGCATTTTCAAAGCAAACTCCTGGAACCGGAACTCAATAAGGTGCGCAAAATTTGAAATAATCACTTCCGAGTGAATCTCAATCCCTGCCAATTTAAATTCAAAGCGAATTAGATTGAAATTCACTCGGAAGTTAATTGCAGGACCTGCCTGAATGGTTAATATCTATATAATATGGAAAAACTACTCCCTCCTCTACTGGAGCTAACCTTAAAATTTCTGTATTCCTTCATTTGTCACTCTTAACTCCCTTTCAAGTTAGTTATGAATGCCCACAATAAAAACGACAATTTTTTATTTACATTTCTAAGTACTTTCGTCAATTGTAATACTATTGGTTTTAATTAAATTTCACAATGACATACAATATCACAATTAATAGAAGTAATTAACAAGTTACTAAACTAGTTTACAAAACTACTTACATGCGTCTATTTATATCCACACACTTAAATGTACGTAATTAAATCTTCGCCTAACAATTTTAGCTACTCGCTGGTTTTCAATCAATAAGTAAAAATTAAAAAAAAACCACGAATTTACGCATGCCGTATGCAAGTTCAAGTAAACTCGTTTGCTTACATGCCGCTATCAATTCAACCAAACAATTAAGCTAATTTTATTTTATACTATAACGGCATCAAATCCGCCAACGACTCGGCAATTGTGCTGTCACGGAAGCGCCCGATACGCAGCGCATATGATATGACATGTGCCACATAGCTGTTTTCGTGCACGCCGTGGAACAAGTAAGCCATAGCGCCTGGAAGAGATGAAAAATAGAATAAGGACAAAAATAAATCACCATCTTTAATGCGCAGTCTTACCCTTGGCATGTATGGTGACGTCAGAGCCGCCATGCAAATTCTCATCTGTGTTTATGGCCGCCTGTTGTGTGTATTCCCAAGCCGTAGTATCCTGGGTCGTTGGATCCACGCGCTTGCCATCAGCATCTGCTTCAAAACCCTTATAGCTGGTGCCATAGGTGAGCGTTGTATAAGGGGTACCCTCGGTTTTAGAGTTCATGGCAATGCCCAATATATCAGCACCTCTTTCCGGATGACCATTTATAGTTAAACTGTGCGAATGATCAGCGGTCACGATTATCAGAGTTTCTTCCAGTTGGTGGCTGTAATTGTCCAATGAATTATCAAAGACTGGGGTTATAAATATTTAACTTTTTAGTGTTCATGCAATCAGCCACCGATCACTTACCTCATTTCTTGCACAGCCGCCTCGACGGCCTCATTCAAGGCCAACGTCTCTGAGAGCGCCCGCCTGGCCGTGCCGCGATGGTGGGCCTGATCAATCATGCCGCCTTCGACGACGAGCAGAAAGCCCTTGTCTTTACTCTTCAACACCTCGAGCGCCTTCACGGTCATGTTGCGCAGGGACGGCATGCCTGAGTCGCTGCGATCACGCTCATGATCGTACTTCAGATGGCCGTTGGCAAAGACGCCCAGCACATAATCAACAGATTCACCGTTCAGAGCGTTCAGTTCGCCATTGTTCTGCACCACCGCGTAGCTTTCACCCGCCTGTTGTTTGTATTTTTTCCAGTCAGCGATTAAATCGCGCCCATCTGTTGAAATGCAGGCCCAAGTGTCGATTGGATCCGCCGCGCTATCCGTCACATCAGAGACCAACATTTGACGACCACCCCCCATAATCACATTTATTTTTCCACCTGTCTCGCCCTCGATCAATTGCTTGGCGATATCCTTACAGCCCTCCTGTTGCGCTTCCGCCGGCATTTTCGCCTCGCATTCCCAACGCCTGTCGGGCGTATGCGCGTATAATGCGGCTGGTGTAGCGTGCGTGACGCGCGTCGTCGTTACGAAGCCCGTATTCATGCCGTCCACTTGCGCCCACTTCAATATGGTCTGCACGTGATGGTTGGCATCCAGTGAAGCGCTACAATTCTTAAGCGCGACGCTGGAGTCAACGCCGCCGGTTTCATAGTTGGTCTTGACGCCACCAAATAGCGCTGTCGCCGTAGAAAATGAGTCCGGTACCTGCTTATCAGCGCAGTAAGTCTGTGCTTAGTAAAAAATAAAGGTTATTGACACTAAAAACAATCCAATTTCCTTCCGCGCCTCACCTTGAGCAAACCCATGTGCGGAAAGCGCTCCCAACTCAACAGTCCCTCCTCTTTAAAACCGTAAATACGCGTGGCTGTCACCGTATTTGGGCCCATGCCGTCTCCCACGAATAGTATGACATTCTTGGCACGTCGTCGATTAATTTCACGACTCAGCGCAATCTTCAACTCTTCAATGCCCTTTTCGTACCACACTTGCTGCTCGGATGGCAATTTTACATTCCAGAAGGGTATGTCCTCGCCATCCGACACCTCGCTGCCCATTTCGTAGTGCACCAAAAACCCTATGCACATTACGGTGAACAGCACACTGGAAAAAGTGACGGCGACAATGAACATTTTCGACTTGAACACGTTGGGTTTGGGCGGATTGGGCTCCTCGAGCGAGTTTGTGAATGCGTGACTTGAGTCAAGGCTATCCATTTGGACCTCGATGCCGTCCTGTGAGTTGGGCAGCTTAGTCACATCCATGCTGACGGCGTTCATTCTGTAGCGAAGTGGAATTTTGCGATGAAGCGAGTTGTATACAAGCTGCAGTCTGATGTCTGCAAAGGAAAAAGGAATAGAAGTGAAGAATAGTTGAGCCAAAACTTTAATAATAAAACTTTTAAACCTACGAGCTAGCGTTCGAACTACATATGTATGTATACTGGCATTAATTAGTGCAGCTAGTCTGCTTATGTTTACTCGCAAAATCTTAATCAGTCTATCTATAGGTGTTTTTGTTATGTGAAGCTGTAAATTTCTTATCAGTAAAGGCGCTTAAAATACATACATACATACATTCATATTTACTTATTTTTATATCAAAGATATATTACCTTCGAAGTTTCTTAATCTTTATGATGCCGTGAGTTAACTTTTTTGTAGGGAAATTCAGACGCAAGATAACAAGCTCGTTGTTGCAAAAACCAGCCGTGCAAAGTGGGAGTCTGATAAAGTTTAAAATCGGTTTTTGGTTTCAATTATCTGGAGACCTTTTTTTGGTAAACTTTAGAAATAAAATTTTAGCCCTCAGCACACCCTACACTATATAGCGGTCGCTCCGGCAGTACTTACTCAGTTCGTTGTAAGAAATCAGTGTTTTCTAAAAAAAAATTTACTCGGTCGTAAAAATAATTTCTCGCCCGAAACCATTAAGGAATTGTTTCAATAGTCTAAAATTTGAATATTACCAGAAAAAAATCGATATTTTATCAAGTAACTGATAACTAATGCCCTTATTCATAAAAAGCAAAATAGACTTATAGCCCAATTCTGTATCGGTCCCAAAAATTTTTTTACTGACAAATTTAAACTTTTTCATATATTTTTCCATAATAAAAACTCTGTCAAGAATTTGTCACTGATACAGAATAAAGCCGTTAAAAAGCTTTGTAAAATGGCAAATCAATCTTACGATTTATAAAGCACTTTAAATCTATTTTATTTGTTATAAATTTTAATGTAATTTTTTAAAAAAAGATAAAGGCATAAAGTGTCTTTTATTACGATATTTATAGTTATCGTAGAATTTTTTTAAATGCTTAATGTTTGACGAAAATTACAATCTATTTAAATTGTGATACGCTTTGGTATAGATTTTATTTGTTTTTTTTTTGTTTATCGATAAATGTTAATAAATTTTTTTATTTTGGATATTTCTTCAATTTCCTATTCCATCGGTTTAAGTACCTAAATTGAATTCTGTTATCAAATATGGGCTAATTTTTTTTTTATATGGACTGTATAAAAATATTTTTTAAATTTCAAAATTATTTCTATAACATTAATAGAATAATTGTGCTCACTTCATTGAAAAGGGTCACTAACTAAGTTAATAGCTTCTTTGTAAAAAAAAATATCCACGTTTGTTGCTGCAGCTTGACAACGTTCGCAAAACAAAGCGGATTTTCGCCATTAAAATAAAAAAAAAAACATAATTGCATACATTAATATAATTAGTTCGCATGAATAATATTTGTATGCATGTATGTATGTACATATGTGAATATGGATGTATATACATATGTATTTATATGTTCATATATGTATGGAAACAGCACTGTTTGAAATGGGTAAAAGTTCTACATAATTTTAATTTAATACGAGTAATAACGTTTTTATTTGAACAATACACAAATGTGTATTTACAGCGCAAGTATTTTTTTTTCTAGGTCAAAGCTTCTTATTTAACCAATCTTCTTACAGTTTCCACTCATTAGTTTCAAAACCTACTTAATATTCTAACTTATTCTAGTGCTTATAGTTCTTTCGACAGAAATGATGGACTAGTGCTATTAAGCAGTTGAAAAAGGAGGCAAGGGAAGTTGAAAAAAATTAAAATTTCGATAACGATTAATCAATGTGTATTTGGTTGAAGAACGCCCTAACTCAGCAAATGGTTAAATAGAGCCCTTTCTAAATGTAAATTCAATATATCTGACATAGGGCGTTCCTCAACCAAATTCTGAAGTAAGCCGTTTTTGCTGCCGATATAGGTTGATCTTCCACTGAGACGTCAATATGCTCTTACTTAGGCTGTTCCAATACTCCAGAATTTAGTCAGGAAGATATTAGTGTACACGGGAGCTAACTAAAGCCTGGAGTACTGGAACAGACCAATGATAAATGTGCGGTGTCAAACGTCACAATGTTTACCAGAGGTTTCTTTTATTGATATACGATGTATACGTAGAATTATTGTAAATTTTTTTGTTTACCGACACGTTCCATTGAACGCTATCAAATAATAAACTACAAACAATAATAAAATGAAAGAGACAATTCTCATTCGGTGGAAAGATAAGTGTTAGGTACAGAGAATCAAGTACATATTTGTTTACCACAAAAAATGGTAAAACAAAAAAGAAAGACAATAAATGCAAACATCAACGAAGGCAACTATAAAAAACTGAGAAGGTAGAAAAACAATACAGTGTAAATTGATCCCATAGATGAAGCTCATTAATAAATAATATACATACATATATTTGTTAAAAAAATGAATGTTTTTCGTTTATTTCAAAGATGACACTAATATTAGCTGTGAGTTTACATACAACTATATTTACATATATTTTAAAATAAAATCTTTCGATTGTTGTTGTTGTCAGTTTTTGGATATTTCCTTTAGTTTCCGAGGTATTGATTGAAATATTTGTCGGTAATTTAGTACGAATTGAGTTAATGATGCAGTCATACTAAACTCATCCAGGTTTTTCAAATGGCGTTCTCCATTTTTGGATATCTCTTTTAGTCTCCGAGACATTGGGCCCCATGCATAAAAAGCGAGCTTAAGCTCCGACTCGATTTTCATTACAAATTCTTGAGCTTTAGCCCACTTCGACAGTGCAGAGTCTGAGCTTTTATACATGAAGCCCATTGACTAAAAAGTACCGTTAATTTAGTAAAAATTTATATCGTACTTTATCGTATGTCATACAAAGTGGCTGCAAAATTGTTCGCAAATGCAGCTTACGACGAAAATGTACTAAAGAAAATCCTTCATAAACTCAAATATAACACTATAGAAACGCTAGAATTACAAAAAAAAGACGTAACTTAGTTTGGATTACGGATCTGTGTACAGTTTTTCTAGATCAGGTAATTTTCCAAAGATATTTTGATTTTAAGTTTGCATTCCGATTGAAAACATTAACATGGAAAATGTCACTCATACGCCATGTACGCCTATGACCATTTACATACATGGCGTATGAGTATCAATCTTACCTACTCATATTTGATCCAAAAAAATCATTATGCATTTTCATTGAACCATTCACAACTTTTTATTTATCCATCAATTTTCTCCGTTAGTAGCTTAATTTTTTTGTTTGTTAAAGAACAGGCTTTAATTCCAATAGAAAAAATTACAAAAAGTCTGCTGGTTTTTTATCCTTTTCCCTGTTAAAGTTTAATTTTTTCATAAAAATTCAAATTTGGATTTTTGTTATTTTTTGGCCTCCCATCTTATATATAAAAAATAAGTGCAAGATTTCAACCAAATTTATACGGCATAGTCGGGCCATTATGCAGATGGTTTGCATTAAGAATCTCCGAATTCGGAAAAGGGGGCGTGCACTACCCATACTAACAAAAATTTTCATCTGGTATATCTCTTGAAATATTTGTGGTAGATTACTGGAAATTGGTATAGAGACATATGAAATAATTCCATACTCATGGAGAAAAAATGTGCGGTATTGAAAAAGGGGGCGTGGCACCTCCCATCTTAAATAAAAAAAATTAGTGCACGAATTCTACCAAATTTAATTCGGGCTATCATGCAGATGTGTTATGTGAAGTGTGTCCGAATTCGGTCCAGCGGTTCATGATACATGACAGTTTATGTCTGTCACATGAACCACGTATATAGTACAACAGCAGATATACATATGAAAAATCGAAAACATAGTGACCAATTGTTGCTATGACGTGCTGTGTTTATTTTTTCTTCGGATAAATTAAGTCAAGTATAAACATGCAATATAGTAAAAAAAAAAAATAAATAAAAAATTTCATATAGAAAAATTCCAGGATTTTTCAATATTTGGTGTAGAGAAGCACACCGGGGTACCGCTAGTGGTTTATAAATAGAGATCACCGCATCTCCTCATCAGACTTCTTCATTACAGTCACTGGGTATCGATAAAGCGACCCCAGCCTACAAAGCGCTAAGTTCGTCTTACAGCCGGTTTCACCAACAATGGGCGTGTTTTTAAGACGTAACTGTTTACCTCAACTGTTGCTGAAATGCTGATACATAAACTGCCAAAACATTTGTAAACAAGCAAAATTAAATAAAACAGCACAAAAATAAAAAAAATATTAAGCCAAAAATATGAATAGCACAGGATTTATAATTTAATTTTTCTTATTTTATTTTTAATATATGTATTTGTACGTGTATTTTATTTTATTAACAGCCAGTTTCGCCAGCAAACACTCAACAGTTCAGCAACAGCTACGACTTAGAAAAGCGCCCAATTTAAATGGAAAATGATTTTTTTATTATTTTCTGTCAATTTCCATATAAGATTCAAAAAATTAAAATCATTTTTCACTTAAATTGCTTTCGTGAAATTGGCTGTTATAAACTGTTGTTGCTTTTTCATATGCCAACCTAACTACAATCAAGGGCAGCATTCTGCTTGATCATGTGGTTATTGTGGATGTTGTTTTTTTAGTTAATTTCTATTTTTAGAATTTTATTTTAATTTAAAAATTACAATAAAAATCTTAAATAAAAAAGTACATTAAAAAATAAAATAAAATTTAAAAAAAATTTCCCTGCACTAGGACTTGAACCTGGGACCTAAGGCGTACCACGCGAGTACTTTGCTCTGCCGGCCATTGCGACTGCTGGAGCGCTGCGAGCAAAAAGGCATACTAATGCTTTCCATAGGGGATGAATTGGCAGAATTTCATTAACTCATTAACTGGTATCAAGCTACTAGTATTTCTATTAGTAGCTGCTGATGCATAGCCTGACAATTGACATCATGTAGGACATCGAAATGTCAAAAATACTAGTCGCTAACATTGAAAAAGGATAGAACATGGTACTGGTTGGGCTGAAACGTAAACTGGTAGAATTCTGCTTCACAACTAGTAGCTTTCTCTGCAGGGTATATGTATATTAAGATGCATATGTATGTATATGTACAGACCCATCTAGAAAGCTTAATGTCTTGGAAAGATTGACACACATTTACAACAAAAATTATGCATAACAAGAATAACAAAAAAGTAAAAGAAGGATGCACTTACTTTGATTTGCTTCCGTATATGGATGTAAATATATTTTTTCTCCCTACGCGAGTGGAATTTTTCTTCGAACAGATTTAGATTTGTCTGCCGCCGGCACGAGCCTCCCAAACGAAGTGGTACAAACGTTGGTATAAATGGTTGTATGTATGGATTTTTATTGATCCCACGTTGCTGCTGCTGCCCTACTGCCGATGCCTACCCGCTTGCTACGCTGTGTTGGCAATACATTCGCAGCCGCTGGCTAATTTATTTCAGAATGTTATTTCTTTTTTTCTTTGTTCTGCGCACAAATTTTAATTAAAGTTTACTTGAAACGAGTTTGTGATTTGGCATAACGTGAATTAATTTCCTACTTTTCTTGTTAAAACACATTTTAATTAAATCTTCCTCTCTTCTATTCTTTTTTTTTAGCACTATCAAACCGACTCACAAGCAACGCAACGTCTTTCTTACATGTGTTTCGAATTATTAGTTTTTTTTTTTTTTTTTTTTAATTTCATCACTTCACCGCATAATTTTTGCTCGGCCAAAAACTGTAGTCTAACAAGCCACAAGTTTACCGACGCAGCGCCACGCTCCAACTGAGCGGCTGATGATTTGCAATATCTCATATAGTAAAACAGTGAACCGATTGTTTATTAAAGCAAAAAATGAGCAAACGTTGATGCACCAACAAAAAAGGTGGAGCGAAAACTTTTGGCGCTCGCAGCTCTCCATATTCTAGCGTTTTCTTTATATATATATTTTTTTTTGTGCTCCACATCTACTCTTTCAACTCGATAGTGTGTTCAGCGCAGGTCGCGCAGTGGGGAGCTTGTGTGAACTTTACTACCTGCAAAGCATTTGTCAGCGACGAAAAGCTTTCTCTCGCTCGAATGCAGAATACTTGCGGGGTGCAGAGCAAACTGCGGGGCTGTTGGTGCGACATTTCCACTAACACACACTTGCTGCGCAGGATAAATGTTGGGGTGGCGTAGAGTACATACACACATACATAGGTGGTATAAAGGCTGAAAACTATGGCCTATCCCAAGGCGCCGCCTTTGCTGTGGGCATCAAAACTCGAGTAGTTTTATGAATTTTACAATGCCACTTTTTTGTACAGGATAAGGATTGAGCGAAGAGCTTGTGTGAGCAAATCCAATTTTTGGCAGCAAATGTCAGTTACGCGGTTTTGCAGAATGACGATTCGCGGTTTTGTACTTTAAACGACGATTAGTTAAATTCAACTACAGAAAATTCCGCAGAACTTCAATATCCATATTTCTAAAACCTAATAAATTAAATTAAAAAAAAAAAAAAAAAAAAAATTCCGCAAATTTTTTAATGTCTAATTTCTAAAAAAAAATATTCAATTCAAGAATTTTTATGAACGGAATTAAAAAAATGTATACTGAAAAATAAAAAATTAATAGGGGAGTAAAAAAATTAAAAAAGTAACAATTATTAAGCAAAAAAAACCGACTTCAGTTCTCCTAAAAAAATGTATTATTACCTTTAATTTCTTGATGATCCAATTATCGGATCTCAACCATAAACTAATTAGTATACACCACCTCTGAGGTACACCCTTTCCTTAAAAAAAAAAAAAGAATTATAGCAATCGGTTAACGTGGTCCGAACTTATGCGGCAACATACATAAAAAAAAAATGTTCCGACAAATTGGTAGCATCCTCCTTTTTTGAAGTCGGGTAAAAAATTTATAATATGTATGTACATACATACTCAAAAATATTTAAAATGGAATTTAAAAAATTGGGTATTCATCTAAACGCGTAAATACCTCGTAACCGCGCAACTCTCGTTAATAATAATATAATAAACAGGTATTCCGCACAAAATTGAGTAAGTTTAAGAGGCATTTACATGTTTAGATAATATAAATAATTTTAAGTTTTAGTAGAAAAACATTTATTTGAAAAAAACTAATCCGAAAATACAAATAAATTGTAATGTCGGATTTTCACTGGGCATTGAATGAAAGAAATTTTGGCGATTGGAAAGAAAGCTTTCCAAGAGCTTTCCAACAGCTTTCATTTTGAATTTTGCAGCGCGTCCCAATAACGCAATAAAAGACAGTACATTAAAATAAAAACTGACAACAATTTTACAACATAACAAATCGCCGACAGCAAAAGAAAAACTAATTAAAGAGAGTTGACCGGAAAAAGCACTTCCTTTTACTATGTTTTAGGTTTGGCTCAACCGCGCACTGCGAGTAAATATCAGCAATGTTTTTTTTCAATATTTTTATTTTTATAATTTTTTTTTACATTTTTTACTTGCATAATAAATTTCAAAATTCACGACAGTTTGAAAAACGCAAAAGCCTTGCTGCTTGCTCTTTTCCATGCTTGTGTGTTGCGACGGATGTCAGTGAGAAAATGTTGTTTTCCAAGCCTGAAGTTTTGCAACATGTCGCACTTGTTGGTATATCCGAATATTTAGGTTTTTATTTAGGAAAAGTTAGCACTAAGCGTTTCTATCGTGTGGAAGGCGTAGTATTTGTATTTTCTGCAGCTGACATATTAACGTCTGTTTAAAAATATTTTGGGATTGCAATTATTGAGTTAATATTGAGTTAATTTTTTGAGCGTGTGAAAAATATGTTCCTTATTTATATTTCCTTGTTTGTTGATTAAGCACTGCATGTGTGCAAAGCATCAAAACAAAATCGAAGCTGCGTCTTTCAGTGTTTTCTCTGCCGTTTAAAATAGAAGCATAAATATCATTAACGCAAAAATAGCTTAAATTAAAAAAAGACAAGTTACATAAATCAAAAAATAAAGATTTCAAACCGATACAAAAGGGCAAACAAAAATTTATGCAGCAGTTTGTGTTCTTTTTGTTATTGTGTAGTGAAGAGCAGGCGCCACTTAGGTAACGACTTAATCGCGAACTCCACTGAAAAAATTTGGGCAGAGTAATGGAATAGATAGAGCAAAGATAAAAATGCAAAAGTGACGTATGAGCGCAGCAACGAAGTGAGCGAGCGTGTTTCAAGCTGTCGTTGCACACAAACACTCAAAACGCATGCAAACGCTACTTAAAAGCTTAGTAGCCGACAAGCGCATAAAACTTGAAATTCGAACGCAAAATACGCAAATAATAAATGGAATTTTAGAAATCTAAAAACAGTTTAGTTCAGTTGTGGAGCCGCTACGCTACGAACTGCGCGCATATGATGTAGTTTGCTTTCTGTTTGCTGCTTTTCGTCCTGCTTCTCTTTAAATGTCATCGATGTCGATTTCTTCGCCCTCGTCATCATCGTCGACAATCTTCTTCGCGGCAGTGGCCACAGCGGCAGCCTTCAAAGGCTCAATGCGTGCGCGATCATTATACTCAATCTCAACATCTGAATCATCTTCATCCTCCTCGGAGGACTCTTCCTCCTCGGCCTCCTTGAGCCACTGAATGAAAGGTTTGACCTTCTCATGTATCTCAGTGGCGACGTCCTTTGAAACGTACTTCTTGCTAACCTTCTGCGACCACTCCAGTATGGCCTTCTCCTCGAGTATGTCCGAATCGTAGAAGAGCTTAAAGATGCCAGCTACCTTCGGCATCAATTTAGCCGAATGTAGAGCGATTATCTGTTCCAAACCACCAATAAGATAACGCTGAGCCTTCGGATTGTTGTGGGTGAAACGCAGCAAAAGATTGCGATTTTTGCGCATCTCCTGTGTTATGTTGTCGGAGAAGAGCAGCTCGGCCAGAACCAGCGTGGCCTTGTGCACAATGTCCAAACGTTCAGCTTCGATCATCAACTCTTTGTGTACGGCAACAGAGTCGAGTTCGCCAGCATCGCGCTTCTTCTTCACTAGCTCGTAGAAGATGTCAATGCGCTCCTTTTCGGTCTTATCGTAGTCATCAGAGATGGTCATACCCTTGGCGCCGTCAGTGAGGTCTTGCAAGCGAGCGCGAATGGCTTCCTGCGGGTAGAAAAGAGAAAAGAGAATATAAGCACAGGGAAATAATAGAATTGTGTTTATTTCCTTACTAACCTTAGACACATCAACACTCCAATTGGCATCATCATCGTCATCCAAATTTTTTTCCGGTATGGCAGCGCTGATTTCCGCCTCAGTTTGACTGGCCTGATTGCCGCTACCGCCATCTGATTCACCACCCGAATTGCTGGCTGCCTTATCGCCACCATCAACACCGTTCTCGCCATTCTTCTTTTGACCGCGCTTCGAACGCTTACCCTCGGTCAGTGAAGAGCCTTGGGCAGCCGGATTTACGGTTGGCGGATTCTTCAAAATGAATGTATTCACCTTATGGTTGACCTTTAGGAGTCCATGGAAACCGCAAGCTTTGCACGACTGCGAAATGGTTTGATTCCTAGCTGAGATGGTCAAATCAGTCTCAGGATTATCGCATTCCGGACACAAGACGTATTTGCGTATGAAGCCGTCGAGTAGATCCTGCAACTTGCTGGCATCATGCGAACCATTGACAATGAAACGCTCGTTCTGGAAAGCCGAAGAGAAAGTTTTAGACTTTTTAATCAGGCAAAAGAACCAAGTTCATAGAAAAGACTAAAGATATGGCAAATAAAACTGTTGTATATGTTCAGCTTCTCCTCAAATTCGCTGAATTAATCTAGTAGATTCTATCGCCTATTTTTATTTGGTTAAATCGAATATAGAAAAGCCTCAATCAGGTGTAATCTTAATAATAATCGTAATAATATCTCGTCGAATCCCATTTGGTATAATCTAAACTGGCCTAATATAAAATAATTTAATCTGGCCTAAATAAACAAATTCCATTCGTTTGAAATTTGTCATGTACCTAACCTTATACTCCTGAAACTCGCTCACCTTATAGTCGAACTGGGTTTGAGCGCCCAACTCGCAGCCGAAGTACTTGGTCGGATAGGTGGCGGGGCGTCCGATGGCGCGTGCCACTTCGGCCATATTGACAATTACGGTCTTAATGCCATTGCCTTTGCCCTCGACCTTAGCCTGCAACCGTGGCATTTTGTAACGGTAGAAAATGTCGGTGACACTCCGATTCACATTGACGGAACCCATTTTTGCTGATTCTTTTCGTTATGCGCTTCCTTACAGTGTCTCCAAATGAGCTGCTTAGTGCTGATTTTATTATTTTGATTATTTTTTTTTTTAGGATTTATAAGAGATTATTGGTGGCGTATGCTTTGCGTTTTTTGCGTATAGAAGAATTGTAAATGTATATAGTTTGCAATAATAAATCGCGCTGTGTGTTGTGCGTAATTTTGGCAATTATTTTTTAACTGGAAATTCGGCGAAAACGCTTAGCTTTCGCTTTTGGTTGGGTGCTTTATATTTTATTTTTATTAAAATTAAATTAAATTTTTTCAAATTGCGGTCCTTACACTTTGCTCTCTTATATGACTTTTGTTTTAATTGCTGCTGTTGTTCAGGCTTTCATATAAAAAATGAGAATGGGTGATTCAACGCTACAGATTTAGCTGGGAAATGTTGCTTTTGATATCTGCCTTGCGATATAATCGACAACACTCAGCGGCACTTCGTCTTCTGCTGCTTGGAGCCAATGTTGCTTGCTTACTGGCTTACTTGCCGCTTATTGCTTTTACATTCAGAGTTCGACCTCAACAAGGTGACCAATTGTTGGCACTCAACATCAGTGAATTAGCTGCTAATCCTATGGCAGCTAAACCAGATCCTGCGGCTGCAATTATGGTAGCGACTGTGGTGGCGTTGGCGTTGTACGCTTGCTGTTCGTTGTAGAAATCTGTCGCTTCTTCAACGTCGTAGCTCCGAAACGCCCTCCAAGACGATGCCGAAGACGTTAGGAGACTTAAATTTTTATTTTTTGATTTATTGTACTTCTTTATTGATAAATTCATGAAGTTCGTTTTTGTTTTGACCTTAATTGGCGCTTTGTTTTTGCTGTTAATTATGATGACAGTAGCGTTACTCCTGCTCGATGCTGTTGCTGCTGCTGTGGTGGTTTTTAGAATGTCCTCCGCTGCGGCTGCTTTGCTTCCACTATTTGTTGTTGTTATTTGACGGTTGTTTGTATTTTTGTTGTTTAATTTTTGGGTTTTGCTCCGATTTTGGATCGAAACTATTCGCAATAACAAATTGCTAGGCTTTTTTACTTTACAGATTGATTGCTGGAATTATTATTTTTTTTATGGTTGCTGGTCTGCTTTACTGTTCTCCAGTTTTTGAAACTTTTATGCAATTTTCACCCCACTTTATGGTAGGAATTGAATTTTTGGGTTTTTTGTTAAATATATTTTCAGATTTTTTTTTGTATATCTTATGAAAGATTTTTTTATATTTTTTTTTTTACATTTATCAGTTTCAGTGCTATATGTTTGTTGCTGTTAGATATCTGTATTACGATTATGGTTTATAAATATTTGAAAAAATTGAAAACGTGGTGCCTAATGGTGTGCGATTGGCTCACGTTTCTCTAAAAGGTTGCAGCTTCCGATGTCTGTTACTGGAAAATTTTGAAGTCCTGGAAGAGAGTGAGATGGAGAAGGATAATTAAAATGAGTGAGATTAAATGTGGGAATAATTTCTTATTTATATATGAAACGGGAAAGTAGTAAAGCAGATAGTAACGTGTAGAAAAAAAAAAACAAGAACTCCTTGGGGAATTTTTTGACCATTAAAATAACAATAACAACGATCAACGATGCAAGTCTCGCTTGCAAATTGCGATAGTGGTACTGAATGCTATTTTCTTGCATACTTTTAGGCATATAAAAACGTATTACAGTGGTGAAATGTAGAAAACGACGTAAGAGAACTAACTATTCTTTTTAATTACGAAAGGCGAAAAAAATTGGATCACGTTAAGAGAACATACGATATTAAGCAGCTTGGCCTGACACTTTAGCAATTTATTTTAGCTTTGAAATCGCACACTAAATAGTGAAATTTATGACATTAACCGCGGGCATACATTACCACTTGAATATAAAGTGCCTTACAAGTCCCAAAAGTATTTTGAACTTGATTTATTTATTATCTGCCGACCGCAACATCAAAGTACGGAATGTTGGCCAATAACATCAGACAATAATATCCTATTTAGGACATAGATTAAGACTTTGCTGAAATTCTTGTCAGATCACAGGACACCACAACGCGTGGCAAAGAACACAATGGAACATGCTAGCAAAAAAGGATAGCTGTTTTTGCACCAGAATCAGCCTCACAACACGCCGCATGAGCACTACTTACACATGGGCTACACTTGAGTGCTCTTGTTGTGCTGTTGATGACAGCAACCAAAGAGCTATGCGCTCAACAACATAAAATATGTAGTATAGTATATAAAAATAATATATACATGCTGATTAAGCTGAAATTTTTGCACATTCCATATTGATTTTTTCGCAATGTGTGATTTAGGCTGCCGGTGGTGAGTCGAGCCGCCGAGAAAGAGTACCACGAAGCGGGCGGTGGGGTATGGTGTGTTGTGTTGTGCTCGATTTTCGTTTGTGTATTTTTCCATGACGTTAATAGGGCTGGGTCGCATTTTGTATTACCGAGGTAAATTGACATAGTAAAAATGGGCGTTAATTTGGCGGCTATTAAATTGTGCGCTGGCGTGTCGAAAACAGAAAAGCAAGTAAATTTATAAAATATGCATAAGTCAGAGTTGATGGAGAGTGCAAATATTTATTGTATGTACTATGTATGGGCATAAAACTTACCTATGACTTAAGTATCGCCTATGTGAATTCATGCACGAACTAACCAACTTGCTCCGTTGATGTGGAGTTGGTGGTGCTCCTTTGAATACTGGTGTTTCTGCAAAGAAAGAAATCATATTTATAAGCTTGTCGCAAAATTGTAGTTCTAAACTTATTGTCGTAAAAATTATTCACTATTTAGACTGCATATATGTATAAAATTTATAGTCATTAGCAGTGCTAACTTTGACACCTTAATAACATGAAATGTCAAACAATCAAACTTAAGTAAAGGGTAAAAACGAATCAAACGCCTGCCATTTGCATACGAAATCCATTGTCAACACGCCTCTAGCTAACCTCTGCTAACCTAAATCAATACAAAATAATTTCTAACATTTTATTCTAAGCATTGACGATTTTTTTCCGTCACGCCAAAACCTTGACCGCTTTCATACACACATGTCAAAGGTAAAAGCTAAAGTAAACACCGTTAACCAACTTCAATTGACATTTTTTGCAACTGATATTTAAATTAAGCAGCAATAAAAAAGTAAAAGAAGCCAAACGCAACACTCGCTCATTGGCTATGCACAGTCCCGTTGGTAGCGCTGTTAATAATATATATTCGAACAGAACACCCCACTGCGCCTAAAAGCAGACTGTATAATGTCGCGGTTTCAGTTACAGCTGGCTACAAATATATCTACGTACATCTTCCTCAAGGCTGTGTGCTGCGCTCCCTGGCGATTTGTGCGCTTACTGTTTGTTTTAACGCTGTTTCCAAGGCTCACCCAACCCCTCCTTCGCCTAACAGCACAAATTATTCAAACATATTGAAAGACTACTTTTAGATGCATAAGAAATGCTATGCTTGTTTACTCACAGCTATATATTTTTTTCTTTAATTAAAAAGGACACACAAAATACGATGTCGAGTAAATGCTTTGCAAATCGCAACGAAAGAAATAAAATAGAGCGGAAAATAGTTATAAAAAATGTATGATGATTTAATGTAAAAGAACCAAAGTGAATAGGCGCATATGAAAATGGGTACAATGTGACGCCATAGCATGCCCACAACAAGTGTTTGAGGCCGCATTTTAGGCACGTTTTGCTTTGCCACGTGTCTCAACAGAGAATAGCTGATAAGTAGGAAGTTGGGCAGATTGGTTGATTTGCTTTGGGTTTGGTTTGGTTGGTGGCAACGGTCAAGGCCATTGCGGCATAAGGCGCATTTGATGGCGAAAAGTGTGAATAGGATGAAATGGAAATGGCGAGGGTATTAAAAATTAAAAATACGAGAATTGCAAAGTATTCAAGATATTTAAGAACGGAAAATGATAACTTGGGCGGGAGCAAAGGCGATGAAAGAATTCACTTTGTAAAGGTTAAATGAAATTAAAAAAAGAAAATAAGCTCATAAATTTCATGAAAGAGTTAAGTTGCTTTAAAATTAAAAAACTGGGATTACGCATTTTGCATTTTCTTGTAAAAAGCGTAAAAAAGTATAATGTGAACAAAAGTATTTAATGACTTTGTATTTACTAAATACTGGATACAAAAGTACTTAGTATTTATGGCTTCATTAAATACTGAATACAAAACCATTTAGTACTTATGACTATAAAATACTAAATACTCGCTACTTAAGTACGCAATGTAAAAATAAAGAATTTCGGGATTTTAAAGACTATTTCAGAATTTTCGAGAATACTTTGGAATGTCTAGGATTTTCGAGGCTACATACATCGAGATTTAAAAACTATTTCAGTATTTTCGGGGCTAATTCAGCATTTATTATTACTATTATGGACTATTTCTGGATTTCTGAGACTTCCGCGGCGTTTTCGGGACTACTTTGCGATTAATCCGAAAATCGATAGTATATCAATAATATATTTATAAATATATCAATAAAAATAACGATAGAAAACATCGATAAATATATCGAATGGAAAATCGATAAAAAATCCCGTAATAGTTCCCAAGTTTAGGTGTGGTGAGAACGAGTTAGATGAGTTCAGTTGCGGTGAGTTAAGGTTTGGTGAATTTAGGTGTGGTAGGATCAGGTGTGGTGAGTGTAAGGTAAGATGATATTTTATTTTTTTTATTTTTTTCGAAATCATAAAGTATTTAGTTTGAAAGTATTTAGCTATCGATTAAATAACTTGGTACTTTAGTGAAAGTGTTTTGTATTTAGCAGCTCCTAAATACTTAACTTTTTTTTTTACTTTAATATCTAACAGCTCCTAAATACCTCAGCATTTTTTACTTGAGTATTTAGCAAACTCCTAAAAACCTAAGTGCTTTTAACTTGGATATTTAGACATCTCCCAATACTAAGTATTTGAGTATTTAGTACCCCAGTAGTTTAGAACCAGTATTTTAAATACAAAAGTATTTAGATGTGCTCATCATTGTCACTGTAGATACGTAAACTCCTCTCCACCTATTTTCAACCATGTAGTCCATGGTCTTGAGGATTGCAAATACCTCAGCCTCCAAGACCGAAGCATACTCCCTAAGAGAAAAGTGAAGCTTATCTCCATTAACTTCTATAAAGACCCCAGATCCTGACCCAGACTCAGTGGGTCCCATGTATAAAAAGTGAGCCTAAGCTCAGACTCAAATTTTTCCCCGAAGACGTAGCACAAGCTCGCGAATTTGTACTGAAAATCGATTCGGAGCTTAAGCTCACTTTTTCTGCATCGGACCCAATGTGTAAGTCCGGGCTCAGTGCAGAAATTAAAGCAGCATTCAACCTCAGGGAGCGCAAAACTATAGAATCTCTTCAACAAAGGTAATGGTGGTGGTACTATGCTGTGACATTGAAAAGACACAAGTGGTCTGAAATCTGCTGCCAGTAATTTCCGCCTCGCTCCACTCTGTCCTTTAAAGCAGGTATCACACGATCACAGTCACAGAGTGCTAATGTCTAGAAATTCGTATCGAGTTCGTATCGAGTTTTATTGAGTTCAGCTCAGTAAATAGCCCCGCTCTCTATTTGTCAAAATAATCAAATCTGTATCTACAAATTTACAAACCGTGTGATCCCTGTTTAAGGCTTAACCACGTATGAAGACAGAAAGTGATGATAAGTGCAGCAGTGCGCCAAGAGCAGCGCCAGGTATTGTAGAGAAAGCTCCCGTAGAGCACACAGCAATAGTTCTTTGAAGTCTAGCAAGCAGATTTCCCACGCTATTGATTAAGTCCGCTCCACCATACCATTGACGCATAGCTGATTATGGGTCTGATCATAGAGGTATAAATCCAGAGTATTCCCTTTGGTGACCGACCCCACGTTTTGCCAAAGACATGTTTACATTGCCAAAATGCCGCCAATGCTCTTGAGGTCTTCTGCTCCACGTGAGATTTCCACCATAGTTTTGTATCCAGAATTACTCCTACATACTTCACTTGGGGAGAAGTCTGAATTATGACTACTTTAAGTGTGACGGGGAATGAGACCATGTAATTTCGAAGTTTTTAATATAATTTCGAATCTTTGATTATAACTTCGAATTTTCGTATACAATTTTCAATTATAATTTCGTCATTTTAGAAATGTATGGTTTGTTTACAACTAGGAATGGAATGCCACTTTGCAATCTTTGTTTGAATTTCGACTATTTTTTGTAAATAAATAAACCATCATTTGACGTTCGATCGCTCAGGCTCTCATTATATCTAACAAATAAATCAATTTTCCAACAGAGCAAATAACAACCCTAAATTACCGAAACTGAGCTCGCAAACCAACCAGAATAATCTCGAATTTGCAATGCTATGCGAAAAAGCTTATGAAAAATATACACATGTGCACACTGGCATTCGTACATTGCCACGGAGATGGATTAGTAGTGCGTGTAATGGCCGGACGAGTGCAAAGCGAGCGCACATTCGTCGGCAACGACGCATGAAATGGAAACCCTGCGAATGCGAAAACAATAAAGATAACGAAAAAAAACGCAACTGAGCCAAAAAAAAAAAACAAATACCAAAAAATAAACAAAAAATAAAAAAATGGTAAATTGCAAACTTTGCAAGAAAATTTGAATAGCAAAAAACAACAACAATAATGATAAAATCACAAGCGAAAACAAAGCAGCAGCTGAGTCACGAAAGAAGTCGACGAAGCAAATGTGGGTGGAGGAATCCTTTCAAGTGAAGACGTGCAAGTAAATTGAATGCAATTTAAAATTCGAGACCAAAAAAATAAAGAAAATAAACCGGAGGAAAAAACAATGCAATGCAAAAAAAAGGGCTGAACAACCAAGAAGGAAGGCGGCAAAGTGGGTGCAGTGTTGAAACGTATGCAGGAGTGGCGCTTGAACCAAACACCAGCGGCATCAGCAGCAGCAGCAACAACAAAGGCAACAACAACCAAAACAGCTAAGAAGACGACGATGCCAGCAGCTGGAGGCTAGACAAAAGTGCCAGCGCAGCAGAAAATTGTCAATGGATAAATGATTAAGGTGTGAATGGTTGAGACGTGAAGAGGTGAGCGTGTTTGTGGGGGAGGGGAAGGGGGAAGTGAGTAGAAATACGCTTGCATGTGAAGCAATTTAGTTTGTGATAATGTACAATTCGCTGAAAACAAGGAAAATTCATTTAATACACAGTGGGTGGTAGACTACTAATACACCTGCTGTGCGTTGATGAAAGTTTAGTGATGGGGTAGAGATTTTCAGATTTTTCTTGAAATAAAGTTTTTTTTTTAAATATTTGATTCAATTTTACACAAACATTTCGGGAATTTTGCCAATAAAGTCAGATTTTTTGGAATTTTTGTACATAAATATTACAATATTTGTGTATGCACAAAGGAAATGTTTCCAATTTCTAAACTTTGTTCTACTGTTTTTCATAGCGAAGTCACTTTTATATTGCTTTTTTGAATTTACATATATAGGAATTCTATCAATTTCGGAAATATCCCCTTTCGATTTCCCACAGCTTCTTAGGAACGAGCAAAACTTTATTTTTTTCGGTTTTTTCTATTTCAAATTTCGAAAGTGTCGTTTCTCCAAAAGCTTCCATTTGATCAATTTTAAACATTTGCACAAAAGTATCTGAATCGAAATTACCTGTTTTGGGGATATACGAAAGAAAATG